ATGCATGACCTCATCGCCACGGGTTCTCTGCTTTCCGTGGACCCAGACAGAATCGTCATCAAGCGGCTGGTGCTCAGCGGCCATCCGTTCAAGATCTTTACCAAGACAGCTGTCGTGCGATACATGTTCTTTAACAGAGGTACGTCCCGTCTCCACGTGGTGGGAAGAGGGGATGCGGAAGCGGAACTTCTGCCCCTGCGGGAGCAGTTGTGTTGGTGCAGCAAAGCCTGTTCCTTACCTGCCTTTCGCCTTTTGATTGCCAGAGGATGTGATGTGGTTTAAGCCAGTGGAGCTGAGGACAAAGTGGGGTCGGAGAGGACACATCAAGGAGCCATTAGGTAGGTTTGGTCCTGTATTTCTCTCTGTGATGCTGGGCAGGATGCGGTCCTCCTGGGCAGGAGAGACAGCTAATGGCCTCTTCTGCTCTGCCTAGGGACCCATGGTCACATGAAGTGCCACTTCGATGGACAGCTGAAGTCCCAGGACACAGTGCTGCTGAAAATGCTGAACCTCTACAAGCGCGTTTTTCCCAAATGGACTTACGACCCCCATGTTCCGGAGCCCGTGCCGTGGGTGAGGAGCGAGAGCACGCTGCCGGTGCAGGAGGTGGAAATGGATTAACTGTCCAGCATGGCTAACGCAGTTTGTGCCTCAGCTCCCTGGATGCTGTTCTCGGCTCGTGCACAGCGAGGACAGCACTCGTGTCTCGGACGTATTACTGCTGGGGTCTGTACAGGGGTGGCTGTCTCCCCAGCCGCTGCTCAGGTACCAGCTACAGCTATTTATTTTAATGGAAAATGTTTTAAAAAACATCTGAGTGCCTCTGTCTTGGTGGTGGCCGGCTGCGGAGGCCAAATGGGGAGGCTGTGTGCACCCCTTCCCTTGTGAACCTGTGGCCCACTGGGGCTGTTGCCTTTCCCTCCTGCCCTGCCATAGCAGTGGGTCTGGGGATTTTGCTGTTTTGAGGACAGGAGTTTGCTGGAAGTTATTGTTGAGGCTGAGAAAGAAAGAGCAGGTGGGGAGAGTGACTGAGTGCAGCTTACTGGAGGCCTGTCCCAGAGCAGGGCGACTGGGGAGGGGGGAACAGGCAGTGCTTTGCTTCCAGGCCCCCCCCCAGTAGTGACCCAACGCCAGCTTCCTGTATCCCTCCACAAAAGCTTTAAACCATTTGGGGCTGTTCATCTGTTTTTAGTTAAGGGGCAAACCAGACTGTACAAATGCAGAGTGAGGTTTCCGTTGCTTGAGACGCTGCTCCGTTCTCATTCTGCTTTCCCAGGGAGGTCTGTGAGCCAGGTCAGGGAGCTCAGGTCCACGTTTCCCCCGCACAGCACGATGCAAACGTTCTCCACGTCCCGGGGGACTGCCCGGAACTGCTCTGAGAGCACGGCCGCCACTCCCACACCCGCTGCTGCTCAATCAGCAGCTTCACCCTTTCCCACACCAGCCGCACGGCTCGCCATTGGGACAGCAGCAGCTGTCATCCCAGCAGCAAGTACAGGCTGCTCCGGGGCCGCGGAGGGCACTGTGCGTGTGGATCTCTGCAGCGCTCTGGGAAGGGAGAGCGGAGCTTCCGCCAGCCCTTTCCAGCTGGAGACTGTGGGTGTTGCACAGCTGCGGTGGTCTGCAGGGGCTTGTGCTGTCCTGGGAGAGTGGAGGGGCAGAGCATGGATGGAGGCAGCTGCCTGCCGGCAGCTACCGTGAGAAGGGAGCTGGGAGCGTTTACCTTGATTTCTTCCCCCGAGGCTGTCGGGATGTCATCAGCCGCACCCCTGATGATGGGCCGCGCGTTCGGTCTGATGCTGGCTTTGACTGCACCTGCGATGGCATCCGGCGGGTGAAGGTTGGGGTCGGTTCCCCTTACCTTGGACTGGTAACAGTCCCCCGCGTTGGGCGGCTCAGCAGCGAACGCTTTCACATCTGGTCTCAAAGCCTGCAGAGAGCAGGAGGAGCTGCTCGGTTTAAACTAGCGTGTGCCCGTCCGCTGTCGCTGCGCGCAGGGGGCCAGGTACGCCGTACAGCTGCCGCGCAGAGCCAGGCACGCGGAGATTCCCACAGCTGCTGCCTGTCTTGGGGAGCCCTGCACTTCCCACGGGGAGATGCAGCCACCGCTTCCCCGATGAGCTGCTGCCTGCCTGGACGGCAACCGCTATTCCCACAGTCATTCCTCCGCCGGGAACCACCGCTGTCTTCACGTCGGGCGCCTGTGCAGAAAGGAAGCGTGAGTGCTCCCTTCCACTGCACCCTGCCTGCGAAGAGCAGAGCCCGGGGCTGGGTCCGGGCTGTGCGTTTCCCTCGCCCGCTCCGGCAGCGCCAGGGCCGTAGTGCCTCACCCCGTGATAACCGCCAGCTCGGGGCTGCGGCGCGCCGTGCCTCCTCCTGTCTCCTGGGCTACGCCAGTGCGCTCCCAGCTCTGCGCTAAGGGGAAGAGCGCGGATGGCCGCCTCTCGGTCCGGCTGGGCCGTGTCCCTGGCCGGTCTCCCCCGTGCCTTCCCTTGTCGCTGGGCCGTAGGCACAGATAGCAGCTTGCTTACAGCGCGGGGCCGTCCAGGGCACCGCCGTACAGGCAGGAATCCCTGCGTGATGAAAGGAGGCAAATCCAACAGCGAGAAAGGTGCAAGCAGCCAGTTGGCGCTGCGGGAGCGCTGCGTGCACAGCCTTGCCTCCGCTGGCTCCCGCTGAGGAGAGGGACACCCCCGCCACTCCCTGGGGCGCCAGCTCTGCACCCCCCGCTGCTCCCTGAGCCGGGCTGGAGGCCGGGGTATGCGTTGCCCCCGGCCCGGGCAGCACAGGTGAGTGGTTGCCCGCGATTCCCCCCGCCCGGGGCCGTCGCCTTCCTCGCTGCGGCTCCCGACTGCGTCC